TTCCCAGGTCCTATGTCCTTTTTTTTTGACAATCCATTGTGTATTCATAAAGACCAAATTAGGTTTGCTGGATTTTCCACTCATAGACTTCAAGGGCCTTGCATTAACAATCACATTTCAGAAATCGCAATTTCTGAATTTTTGATCAGTTTGTTAAACGTCCCATGAATCAAAACCATGCACATTCGGCTTACCACTAGTGATCAGCAAGTCATAGAAAGTTTTATATAAGAGAACAAAGAATGTGGTGTACCTAGAGCATTAGACATCCAGAAATTGTCATTTTGAACACCACTTGCTGTATGGTTTGCTGAAAAGAAATGGAGACAGTGAAAATTGGTGGCTAGTGTAGAAATTACCTTTTACATTGATAATCAGTGAAATCTTGTTTTGGGGGGTCATTGTACACAGGATATCAACTCACAGTACGAAGTTTTAGGTGGGCTGTGCAAAGTTTTAGGTGGGCTGGGCAAAGTTTTAGGTGGGCTGTGCAAAGTTTTAGGTGGGCTGTCTCCATGCAGCCTTCTGATCCTGATCACTGGAAGGACACCCTGTCTCCTGCAGGGCCCGCACTGAGACATGTACAGATCATTCAGGGCCAGGCAGAAACATGTACATCTGAAGGGATGCCGGGGATGTCCTGTTTGATAAAACATGGCATCTGCTCCAGCCGTCACCGATGTTTTATCAAACAGGACATCCCTGGAATCCCTTTAGACGGGCCCTGCTCTGGAGCCTTCAGAACGAAGATCTAATTCTGAGAAAAGAACTCTGCAGTTATGTTATTAGCAATGGTTGCATGTAAATGTCATAGAAAAAGAATAATACAAAGTATTGAGAACATTTTCTTTTATTTTCATATGTAATTGTTTAGTTTAGGTGCTGCACAGTGTTAATCAAAATATATCACAGTATGTACAAAGGATATAAGACCTGCTATAAAGTACATCTGTACTGTCCCAGCATAGCTTAAAATAAAGCTGGCCACACACTGCCTCAATCCAATCTGTGTGTGGCCCTGTTTCCACCACCCAGCATGACAAAAGTCAAATTTTCCATCAAATGTTGTTGAAAGAACATGGTGGAAAATTGCTGGTCGAACAGCTACTGCATTTATTCAGCTCTTGGGGCTGAACAAAAAAGTGTATAGCTAGCTTATGGCTAGCATTGCATATCAGGGACCATAAAGTGTCACTACATGCCTTTAATCTGAAAGCTCGCTGCCCCCACATGGCAAAACTGGGATCTGGCAATAAGTAATTCAGATACTGACATTGTGGAACATTGGAGGGTATACATATTCACCCTCTAGCTGTACATATAGATTTGAAAGGGGTGGTGCTCATTGAGGTGCAAGCTGTCATAAAAAAAAATTGTGATATAGCACCTTATGGTCCTTGCTATACAATTCTAGCCTTAGCTTGTATTCTTTCATAGTAAAATAGACTTATTTAATTGCACCTTTGCTTTAACAATGCAAAACAAAGCAACAGGTTCACTTAACTGTTGGCCTACCCATATGCACATTCTCACCTTGCTTTCTTCAGGAGAAAAGACAAAAAGTCCTGTGTAAGCTACAAGTTGTGGCTTGGAGCTTATACGGAGCAGAGGTCACTCTTTCTGCTTCCATGTCAGACTGGGGAAAAGTCAAGTATGTGCATCTAGGGAGGGATGCAGTTAAGTGGCATGCTTTTCCCTTCCTGCATTGTCAGGTCCGAATCTAGCCAAACATTTTTTATGTGGTATTGAGGAAGGGTTAGAGCATCTGTTAGGGGTTTACAGCTGTTTGACAAAATTAAGGAGATATCTCCTAGTTTCTGGTCCCATTGATGGGGAGTGTCAAGAAGTCTCTCCAATGGGGGAAAAGACAACAATGGAAACAATATTTCTTTAGGAAAATGGGCTTAAATCTCCATCAAGTTTTTTGCTACCTGCGGCTTTCTTCATTTTAACATCTTTCTCCTCATTTTTGTTCGGGTATCACAGGGATGGGAAGTGAAGGGAAGTATTAAGAAAGGAGGTGCTTAGGCTTAGTTATGTTTGTCGTTGACCTAATTCTCTTTATTCGTTTTGTCCCTATAAAATAAAATTATGATCAGTAAAATATATTGCTTTGTGTATAACAATGTTGAGTATATATACAATCTTACACAACTACACATAGTAAAGAACACTCTTAATGTATGACATTTTAAGCAGTAGCAAGATAAACTGTTAATTTCTAATGATACTGTTCCCAGATTTGTAAACAACACTTTATTTCAGGAAATGCATCGTAGAGTTAAGCAGAGATGATATTACCTATGCACAGTATTTCCCGATGTTTATATCCCTAACAAAGCACAGTTCAGATAGCAGATAATTTTTTAAGGTTTTTAATCTTAAGCAAAACGTCACCCTGATCCTTTGATCCAGAGCCTTGTGTACCCCTATATCGAAGGTTCCCCATCTGCTGACCAACAATACAAAAGTCAGATTTTACCTGAAGGTTAAATGAGCATTGTTATATTGGCACAGACAGACTTAAAGTGGCCCTGTCACCACCCCAAACATATAGGGCTTAACATACATGTACATGTATTCACATAGAACTAACTTATACTTTCTTTCTTTTGTAGTTTACTTTTTCTTGTTGTCCTTCAAACAGTAATGATAATTATTAACCACGTCTGACATTTCCGGAAGTATCCCTTTGCCAGCCTTATATTGCTACTCCCCCACTTCAACCCTGACATTACCCATGTACCTGGCAGTGGAAGCCTCACATAATCGGTAAAGACTGCCAAATTCTCCAAAATCTTCACTTATTGTGGTGTCCCTCGCACTGTAAATGGTAAATGCTCGTAAAACAAAAGCTGTGCAACAAAAATCTCTGTATTTAATGCAAATTGTAAGATAGTGTCATTTGTTTTTTTTGCAAGTTGGCATGGTAAGTATGCTGGGACATTTTTGTGTTTGTATTGTGTAAAGCCCTTCCACGTGCACCTTACTTGAAAAGCTAGTTATAAAATGATCGGTGTGGTTGCCATTTTTGTTTTGCTGGATTTGATGAGGGGACGCATTGGGGGCTTTAGCTGCCAATGTGATGTGCTGGGCTTCTGGTGTGTCCCTGTGCCTTTAAGCAGGAATGGGCTACCATGCTTGCACTCAATTTATCCACTGCTATTTATGCTCCAAGATGGAGGCTGTCATTGATTAGCGTTAGCACCACACTACACAGAGTAGCTCTGACAAGGTAATGTGGCTTCCACATATTTTGCACAAAATTTTTAATTAATGCAAATTGTTAGACAGTGTAGTTTGTTTTTTTCAGGCTAGATGGTAAGTATTTATATGTTGGATGTTTTATAATCATTTTATTGGCTCTAATATATTGAAATACACAGTTGATCTTTTATAATTTGCACCATTTTTATTTGTGATTTTACAATTGTTCACATTTATTATTTTAGTGCAGTGCAATTTGTTTATTATTACTATAGGTTGTTTTTTAAAACACTTTTTTTAGCACAGCAGCTTGTTTGGTCTTTACCATAGCACAGGTCCTTTGATACTAATAGATAGTAAGTGTGTTGGGAACATTTTGTGTCTTGTATTGTGTAGTTGCTCATTTTGTTTTGCTGTGATACTCACCTAACTCCTAAATTTGAAAGGCCCCAGCTCTCTCCTCTTCTCCTTTATGCTCCAAGCTGTGGGTGGTCTCTTGACATTATCACATAGAATGCAGGCAAGCGTTTGGCCACAGCCAGGAGCACCTTAGAGAAAAGGCTTTGCAAAACCACTTGCCCAGATAGAGGTAGCCTGCCGGAGCAGGGAATGTGGTACCTATTTCTCCCTTATCTTCTAACCCTAGACTTAACAAGCAGTTAACCCTTGCAGTGGGGAAGGATGAGGGCCCACTGCAAGGGTAGATTTTGTCTGATGCAAAGAGTTCAGCTTTAAAATATGAGCACTGTTTGCAGGACAACAGAAAAAGAAAGCAGACATCAGTTACTGTGAGTACATGTATAAGATATGTTATGCCTCACAGGTGTGGATGATGGCAGGGTCTCTTTAAATGCAACTCCAGCCAAAACTTTTTTTAAGTTTTAGATTGTGGGAAGAAAGGTAGGGAAAGTTGATCGATCTGACTGAACAAAAAGGTTTATTTCATTCTTGGTTTAAAATGGAAAACAGCATTTAGAGATTAAATAATTATGTCTTTTCAAATAACCATTTCAAAGTAAATTAATTTTAACAGTGAATCCAAAAAAATTTAATATGTAGCCGTAATTTTGAACCAAAGGTGACTGTTGCATTGCTGGTCCTGTAAAGGATTTTCTTTTCTCTTCTACGATCATTTATTTTGTATTCTATTGATTTATTATCCAGCCCAGAAATTGCATTGATTTTGTCCTCTAAGAAATCCTGTGCAGTTGCTTGGCATGGTGATTAAATTGTGCACCTAATTATCGCCGTAAGTTTGAACAATCAGCATTGGCCAACATTCAGCATTCGACAATTTAAGATGAGACAACTTGTATGACTTTTTCTAGTTGACAGTGTATAATCTTTTCATTATTATTATTATTATTATTACCGGTATATAACGTTCCTTTGTAGAGCCACTTTATTTACTCTGTATTGTGTTACCAATATGGTTTGCTTGATGTGGGTGTCTTTTTTTTTTAATCCCCTACTGTTCTTCTTTTGTGTTTAATTTGTCATTAGCATTCAATAAAAAAAGTATGAGAAAAAAAATAATTCAGTGGCTGCCAAGTTAAGAGCGACTGTGGACTCATCCAGTGCAAACTAACAATGTCTGGGCATGAAAGACAAAAAAAAACCTACTGTATTGATTGAATAAATGCCATATTCCATATAAAACAAAGATTTCCAATGAATAAACAGAATATAGTGATATCTATTGCGAAGTTTGTTTATAAACTGTGCATCATCAGACATCAGACCCTTTGAGCTGATGGGCAGGGTTCCTTCAAATAGGCTTGCTTATTTGCAGTAGCTACTTTTCTACTTAAAAAATCTCACTTTGTTTATTCCAGACATAACTCCATGCCATATTTATCTGTAGGTGCATATAATGTTAGGAATACACAGGTTTAAATATTGTCCAAGACTGTTGATATTCATCTGTCAAGTTTTAGTATGAAAGCTGCCAGCAGACCTAGTAATGCTGTAGCCAATGCACCTATTAGTAGCATCTTGTAGGTTACCTGGAGGAACATGAAATTCAGAGGTCACACATGATTAAATAGTTGCTAATGAAGTAACAATGTACTTACAAAACCTTCATACTTTAGAAATGCAATGTTAGGTTCCCAAAAACAGTTTGCCCATGAATCTTGTAAAATTAAATGCATTGTTACTACTTTACTATTTTAAGTCCTATTACCTGCACATTGGCATTATTTTATATACAGGTCTATTCACTAAAGGGTGAAGGGTTTGGAGAAGGCAGGAGAAGTGAACAATCTTTTGTGAAACAATTATTTCAGCCGTACTGAGCCGTAGTGAATAGCCGAACGTTGTTCGGCTCACTTCACTACGGCTTGGTTATTCACTCGGCTGCCTGCGGCAGCCGAGTGAATGACCCTGTCAGTCTTTTTTTAAAAGGGTAAATTTGACAGTACAGACCTTCTCCTATTGAGTAATGAATGTCAAGAAATGTAATTTTTGCTTGGCAAATGTCAGACCTAAGTTCACTAATGATGCTTTATAAATAGGCTAAATGTTTGCCAAAGAATATTTAAAAAATGTTTGGCAAATGGTGCATATCATTTTCTATAGCTCGTCCCCTTAATAGTAAATAAGGATAATTACATTTTAGGAAAAACTCATGGTCACTGAAGAAAACTGAAAGAAATATGTAGGCTCACATTGCTGACCTCCTTCCAAAAATGTTAGTTATTGGCAATCACTGATTTTAATACTTACCAAGTTGCTAACCTGGAACCATTGTACAGGCAGTGAAGTCAGAACACCAGATCTTCACATTTGTTCTGGGTATGTGACTCCAAATATTGAGGCCAGTAGATTACCAAGACAGCAAGGTAACTAGCATTTGCATTAGGAAATGGTCAGCAAAAGCTGCCTACATACATCTCAGTACATTTGCCTTTAAAGCTAGTGACACTACAAGAAAGAAATTAGACTTACCCTCTGCTTTGTGCTGTGACGTTTAAGCGGATTTAAGTCATCTCTAAGCTTGAGATGAGCTTTGGGTTTAAGTCTCACTGGGGATTTGGTGATTTCGGGCTGTCCTTTTTGTCTCCTTACCAGCTTGGAAAGCTCTGCATGAATGGCCTAAAAGGAAACAAGTCATTGCATCAGAGTATCAGCCTCTTGGAAATTCACTCTAGTCTAACAACAGTACAGATGAGGATTACCGTGACCAGATCCCACACATATTGTCAAGAAAATATAGTAGTCTATTAACAAAAGGGTGAAGAGTTTGGAGAAGACAGAAGAAGTGAACAATCTAGGACAACATAGCTGATTTGGAAAAATTCTCCAATGCAGCTCACTTTCCAGTTCAGCTATGTTGTCCTAGATTGTTCACTTCTCTGGCCTTCTCCAAACTCTTCACCCTTTTGTGAATATACTCCATAAATGACACATTTGTGCTATTTCTGGTGGCTTAACTGTACCCTGAATAATTCCAATTTTATTCCAGTGTTACGCAGAGTTTATGATACCCTGCATTTGCATTTCCCATTAGGTATATGTAAATACTATACCAAGAGCGCAGAAATGTATGAGAACTGGCAGAGGGGTCCCATGCAGGAACAATTATGTAGATAAGGAATAGATAAGGAAACCAGAAACAACCAAACAAGCTTTGAGAGAGCAGGGAAACCACTGCATAACATTAGGATACAAATATTCCTTAAATTACCCCACGGGTAAAACAAAAGTAAAGTCTGAAAGCAATATTTGTCAGCAGATAGGGTCTTTTTGGTTTCTACCAAAATAACTATTTTACTTACCTGTTATCATTTTGTTTTTAAATTCTGTACACTGTCTGTGGTGGATGCTCCATACAGTGTACAGTCCTGGCATCTCCAGTGTGCCAGTGGGGGAGATACATCATCAGGGCCTGCCCAATAAGTGAAGCAATATGATGATGGGACTGGAAGAAGAGGAGAAGGACATGGCTCCAAATTAGAATGGAGTAGATTTGGGGATCTTGGACCTCACATCGCTGGATGAGAGCACACCCAGTGATAAGTGTCTCATAATGTGCAAGTATGCTGCACATACTTGCATATTATGGTGATTGATTCCACGCTTTACTTCCATTTTTAGGAAATGGGTAATGTGACAGAATGCCCTTCTGTCATATTACCCATTTCCTAAAAGATCAGCATGTACAATCTAGCAGATAGGTAACATAAAACAGATAGTAGGGAATGGTTTATAACAGCAGGGAAGTCAAGTTGTAAAATATGTCAGATGTGTGACATAGATCAAATATCCAGCAAGAATAGATCTAATCAAAGCAGCTAGCATGCACAATTTGGCAGTCTGGTGAAGTAAACCAGATATCAGGGAAGGGTTCTTATTAATTTGACAGGCAGGTAACACAAGCGAGACATCAAACATGATAGGTTAGTAACACATTCTGAAAGTATTTTTGTGCTGCTTGCCTGGTTACCTTCATGATTGCTCGCTTCACTCAATTGCCATATATTGTCAATGGAGGGCAGGTAACACATATACTCTTTCATTTGCCAACTTTTTCTCATTCTAAACTTGGTGATCCACCAGTCAGTGCTATCAACAGATTACCCTCAGCCCTAGTTACTGGAAAGCCTAAAATAAAACATTTGTTTTTAGGTGGATAATATCTTCTAATATTCTAATGATAAAATAAACTAACAAACATACTATATAATCATAGGTTTGGAATATTTCCTGTGTCTTCTTTGAATTCTGAATAATAAATGTATTAAACATGTTACTTATACATTATTGCATTAATAAATGAGGCTCTCCAAAAGCAACAGCGTCTTTTGGGTAAATTACTTTGTATATGGCAGGCATATGTATGATTCTCTTAAATGATGGTATTTCAAAACCCAAAAGCCTAACTGGCATGACCTGTCACCATAATTATCAACCCATTTTTATTCCTACTTATAGGTCACCCTTTAAATAAAATCTTGTCTAAAAGAAACATGGGGGCTGCCATTGCTGTTTTCTCCTTCTGATAATGGCAGTTATCTGGCTGCGCTGCCCTTCAATACTTTGAAGTACTCACTATAATACATATGTAAATGAAAAGTTCTGACTTTCCAGACCTGCATACATGTTTTAGGTCAGTGACTTAAAAGGTGTTAAAGCTAGTAGGTGAGCATAGCAGCCAATCATCTAGTATTTTCACTAGGAGGTCAACACCGGCAGCCCTGTATTTCTGTTATGACAGGTTCACTTTAAAAATCCTGCCATCTGTCATGCAGGTTTTTTTATGTTATGATTACTCATTTTCTAATCCACATTCTTTGCTACATGATATCCCAATGTCACTATTTAAAACACATGAATAATTCTGTTATGGACACCTGAAAGAACAAACAGTTTGAAATTACATTTATCTTGTTTCATTCTAATTTTTTACGATATTATTACTGTCCTGTAGGCAGAAATAATGAGTCCATAGACACCATCATTCTTTTGTTTCCTTCTGACTCTGACTCATTCATAGCTTTAACTTACTACGTAAAGTTGTAATTGGTCAATTCAAAAATAAAAGTAACTGATTTAAGTATAATGGAAATACAGTAACAATACATGGTACAAGCAGCCAAACCAATTATCTCAAATGCATTGGTAATTTTATAGTGTTGTTGTATGTAAGTTTTGTTCAGGCATATGGCAGAAATATTATGGGAGAGCCTTTAAAAGCAATTGTATGGGGGCCTGGTTTAGCCATGAACACATAAGAACACTTGGAGAGGTAGAGCCTGCTGTGCGTCCCTTAATAAACAGAAATACTGGGCTTAGAGACCTCTTACTACAACCACAGTTATGCCAGGGAAGAAAAAGGGCTCCCTACAGCCACAAAGAATTCTGCAAGTGCAAAATGGCAGCACAAAGAACTTCTTCCCAGGCAACAAGGAATTGGAAGGAGCAGCAGATCCCAAGATGGCACCTGCTGCAAATACCCAAAAGATTGACCATATGCAAGTTTGTTGAGTAAGTCAGTGCCAACAGCAAAAATGGTATGAAAAGTGAAAACGTATAGCATCCAGTCAGATTTCAGTAAGAACTATGCTAGATACTTATTAGATTTTTAGATGAGTTCCGAATGTTTGCTTTATCCTGTGACTATGTTGCCCACTTTGCCTGACCTGACTTCTGAGATAAATCTGATTGCTCCTACCTTTCTACGATTCTTACTCTGTCTTTGTCTTCCAAATTGGAACCCACACATGGATCCCCACCCTGGACCTGACTGCTGACACAATATTTGATTTCACACTGCTTTTGAACATTGGGCTGAGCCTGATCACACACTGCCGGTCACCCTACTTTGTGTGATTGATAATGGAGCCTGAACAATGTGGCAGCAGCCCCAAGGGAAGGATATGACTGGTGGGTGAACAAACAATCCAAAGACTGTTTTTTAACATGCTATCTTTTCATATGTAGTGTGCTTCACAATAAGCTAACCTTTTAGTTTTATAAGCAGCGGTTGGTGACCTCTGACCTAGATGATATCTTCACATATCTACGTGTGTAAGTAAAGTCAATGACAGAAACACAAAACATAAATGTAAGAAATAGACAGCTATAAAAATTGATGATTGATGCTGATCCTTCGGCTAGCTTCGGCCCCAGGACCCCTTTGGTTCAGGGCTATTCACTATAGCCGGTACAGCTCCCAAAGTTGGCCGAGGGGCTCAGTCGAGCCGAAGGCATATGCTTCCGCTCGACTGAGCCCAGGCTGACAGCCTGCTACTGACAGCTGGGCAGAGCTGTCATTACACTGAGAACCCGTTAGAGCCGTTCTGACATTACACTGCAGCTCCGCCGGGTTCTGTGTGTAATGACAGATGGGTGTCCCATCTGTCATTACACACTGAGAACCTGGAGGGGCTGCAGTGTAATGTCAGAACGGCGTCCCTGGTAACCAGGGACGTCGTTCTGTCATTACACACAGAACCCGGCGGAGCCGCAGTGTAATGTCAGAACGACGTCCCTGGTTACCAGGTAACCAGGGACGTTGTTCTGTTATTACACACAGAACCCAGTAGAGCCGCTGTGGTATCACTGCGGCTCCAACGGGTTCCAACGCCGTTCTGTCATTACACACTCCGCCGGGTTCTCAGTGTGTAATGACAGATGGGCATCCCTGGTTACCAGGTAACCAGGGACGCCCATCTGTCAATACAATGAGAACCCGGCAGAGCCGCTGTAAAATCACTGTGGCTCCGACGGGTTCTAAGTGTGTAATGACAGATGGGCATCCCTGGTTACCAGGTAACCAGGGACGCCCATCTGTCAATACAATGAGAACCCGGCAGAGCCGCTGTAAAATCACTGTGGCTCCGACGGGTTCTAAGTGTGTAATGACAGATGGGCATCCCTGGTTACCAGGTAACCAACTGTTTTTCTATTCTGCTCGGTACCACAAGAGGTACAGAGCAGAATAGCCGAGCCAAATGTTTTTGTAATTTATGGTTTGGATAAGGATTTAATCATTTCGATCCTGGTGTCCTTGAAATGTATATTAAGCAGGTGGTTGAAAAGGAGCTCCCCTCTAGTCATGGATGGACAGAGATATTTGTCCTCTTATTTTGGAGTTCTATGGTTCTTTGATGTGGCTGAGAACTCAAAAATGTTTATAGGAAGTATATTAAGGGCTGGTGTAAGTTTTTGCAGAAATTTCCACTTCAACAAATAGTAGGGTGTTAATTATTGCCGTCGTAAAGTTGAAAAATCCTAAACCAATCCATCCTAACCCTAGGAGAATCTGTATATGCCTTTAGAAAATAAACCCCAGTTGTCACTTGGGGTGGGTTTCCTCATGGTGACAACAGTGGATCATGCCTGTATAATGAGTGTTGAAGTCACTTATAATCTCCACCAGAAGCTTGTATGACAAGGTGATAACGTGGGAGATCACTTGAGAGACAGAGACAGAACATTGTCACCCTATAGCTGGATTAACAGGTATTATTTTATTGAAATAGATACAAATCTTTAAATTATTTTAAATTACATTAACATGTTAAAGTAGTGTTAAACTTTCAAATGTTTTCTCAATAATGAATGCAGGTCAAACAAATATACACTGCCCT